CCACTGGTTTGCATTTGGAACTACTCTGTTTCAGCCTGGGAGCTTTTGGCCGTACATGGAGAAAGAGGGAGGAATCTGGGCTGGACTGGCCAAAGTGGACCAGGCTTCAAACATTCCTGGCTTACTACCAACATACTGTACAGCATTTTGTGCTTGGCCTCCTCCTCTCCTCCCTCCACCTCTCGCCCAATTCAGCATGTGTTTCCCATTTTCCCTTGGAGTAAGTAAACAGGCGGGTGCCGTCAAAGAAGGCTGTGGTGAGGAGGCCAACAAGGCCTGAACTCTCAGGGCCCAGGAGTCTGCAGGGTCACAGTTGGACCATACAGTGTGATGGTAGCCAAAGCCTACATACCGGCACAACTAGTCGGCTTCTTGACAAGACTGCATGTTATGGAGGCGATGGATGCACTGACAGTCATGTCTGCCTATTATATATTTTTTGTATTCTTTTTCTTCTTTTTTGTGCACATTGGTCAGTTGCTGATAGTGCAGAAGGGGGGAGATGAGAGTAGGAAAGGACAAGAAAAGGGGTAGCTTCAAGATGGCTCCTTTTTTCCTCATTAACATACAAATGGAAAACTGCAGTTGAGAAGAACCCTGTGCTGTGATTGAGAGGGGAAAAAATGGAGGCAGGATGGAGAAGTGGGAGGGTGAATCCATTTCATCAGATCCGTCTATTCCTCTGTTTAGAGCCACTGTTACTTTGAACTGTTCCATTAAGGTGTTCGGCTATCAGATTCCAACACTAATTGACTTTCCAAAGCCATCAGCCTCAGGGAGGAGAATTTGAAAGTGATGCTTTTATCTACTTAGAAGGCAAACAAGGCTGTTGATAAGGTTGTTGGAGCGGATTATTAAAGAAAGGCTAAAGATTTTGGTCTGGAAAAAAAAGTGGTATGTTTAGTGGTTTGCGATGCAAGAAATAAAACCTAAAATTATGTGTAATGAAGAGAAAGAAGTCTAAACCATTCATGCAGTAACTAGCAAACATTCATGAAAGGTTCTGCTGAAGACATCCACCAAACCTGCCCTCACCTGTTGAGATTGCATAAATCTAATGTGTGTGTTTTATGTCCCTTCTTTTCTCCACAGCTTCGCAAACAGGGTGAAGTAAGAGGAACCAGTGCTGCAGACGAATGAAAAGGCAAAGGATTTTAAACACCCACAACGACAGCAGCAATGGAGATGAAGAGGATTCCTTTGGTGCCACTTTTTTACCTTAACTGAATTAGGCTGTGGAGGAGGGAACGCTGCTCCTTGTAATCAGTAGAGCAGATTCCTGACTCGCACCCAATCACAGACATTCTATCCGCCGAGGAATTGATTTCTAGAAACCAGCACGATCCTAGCTGATAAGACTCTGGTTAATGTTGATCTCCTGGGCAGAGAAAGGCCAGCTATCAGCATCATGCTATTGACAAGACCTAGCCTTGCGGAGAGAGATGAAGAGGAGCTGCTTCCAGTAGAGATAAATTTTTACAAAAGCAAATTCATTGGCTTGATTCTACAGTGGCAGATGTTGGACCAAACATTACCTCGGTATTATTTGGTTTTGTTTTTGTAACCCTCCAGAACATTCCTCTTAAAACGATGCCCTGTCTGACCTCTCTTTGTCTCCTCCTCAGTTTGAACTGTACACACTGTGGCTCAGTGGTTTGCATTCCCTGGCATGAGTCTGTCTGTTTGTCATACTCATGTTCCTTCCTGCCACAGCCTCCATTAAGAGATTACTAACATCCCTGGCGCCTCTGCCTATTGTAATCCTTCCCTCGCCTCCCCACCTTAACCAAAGAACTGCATCTTATTAACACTGACAATCATGCCCATACAGGTATTCACTCTCACTCCTATACAGATTTAATAGTAACCCACACGCATACATAGGACACACATACATTGCCACATGAGGATAAACATGTGGACTCGCACTCACACACTCACAGGTGTGGATGCCTTTGCGGTGACTGATATCTTAGCCTAAGCTGGGCAGATCCATGCAAGCTTGTTCAACTGAAGCACGTTACTTTGGAAGTGTTTACAGCTCTGTGTTTTGTTTTTTTTTTTTTCTTGTTCTTTTTCTCCCCCACACACTCCTCTTTTGAAGACACTCGCACATACAAAACATACAACAGTATACACCGCCCTAACAGATGTCCCCAGAGAAAAACTGCACTGAAAAACAGCTACAGATGGTGCTACACCCCTCCAGCCTCTGTCATAAGCTAAACTGCACAGCACTGCTTACCCCACCTAACCCAGGCCACCCTAGAGGGATCATCGCACTCGTCCAAGACACCTTTTCTGCTTCTTTCTAGGTGTGTTTACATGTTAAAAGGGCCTCGTCAGTGCCTGCTCGACACCAGCACCACACACTGCTCGCCTTCATCTCTGGACCTTTTATACCTTTATATCTGTTGTACCTCTGCTCTCAGCTGTTAACCTAACTCATTTCTGACTGGCAGTGTTCTCAACACCTAAAGGTTAGCTTTAGCTATTAGCTGCTGCTTGTCGGGAGTAAATCATGACACATAGAGCTTTGTGGAATTCCTTGTGATTCCCTTTTGTTTTCCTGGCATATCACAGTGTGATTCCTTCAGCAAGCAAGAATTTATACATTGCAGTTTTACCAGCTAGTGCGGTATTGCTGCAAACTGCCACAGAGTTGCACATTTCATGCCAGCCGTTTGACAGATACGGCATATTTCTGCCTCCTGACTTTTTACCTCCATAATGCACTTTGTCTGCTTAAGCTTCAAAATCGTGTGGCACTGGCCTGCGGTGTTGATCTTCATGAGTGTTGTATGCAAAGTACAAGTGCTTTTCCTCATCTGATTTTTACTGGCATTCTTTGAAGGGTTTTTTGGGTTAAGTAAGCTCAGAGGTTTTTGTGTTAAGTCCCATTATTCTTACCAGTCATCCATATTACTCTGCTTGTCCTGAATTTACTATTAAAGCACTCAACATTTCTCCTTTTTTTTTTTTTTTTTTTTTTTTTTCCCTGTTTGTATCACTGTAGTTCCTTACTTGGTGTACTGGGTTATTGGTTTGTCCAAAGCATGTAAATGGATTTCTGATATATTTGTTTATTGTGTGTGTGTGTGTATGTGTGTGTGTATATATGTATATATGTATATGTGTATATATATATATATGTATATATATATACATACATACATACAGTAATGGTTGATATAGGAAAAGTTGGATGCAACTGTCCAAGTCACTTTTCATAACGAAATCTTCTCAGGCAACAACACTTCCTATTAATACTGTTGCTAATCATTTGCCCCAAGCCGCTGGCTTCCTTTCACTGTACCATATCTTTTTCTGTGGGTAATATGGTGTTATCGTTTCAATATGATGGGAGGCGGTTGTAATGCACCCTCTGTTCCATTTTACCACGGTTTGTGAGACAGCCACATGGCCTTTGTTACTGTACCATTATTCCATGTACATGTGTCAAAGAGTGAAGAGTGCCTGTTTTTCGCAGTGTGATCAATGTTTCCAAGTTTGTCTTAATGATCCCTGCTGTCTGTGTAATCGAGAATCTAGTGGCTAAAGAGAAGAACAAATCAATGGTTTATCATCGGTCAAGACTGTGTAATAGGGAATGGGAGGTTTTCACAAAACAACTGTACAGTCTTATCCTGACTTATGAAATCTCCAGCTTGAATTTTGAACAGTGAACTTTTAAATGCTTGTGATCAGCTTTTTAATTTCAGGGGACACAGCGGGCGTATGACATTTTGTGCCTTTTCCTTTCTGTGGATCTTGTTGTGTGCCTTAAATCAACATCTTGTATCTAAATATCAAGTAAAGTTCGCCTGGAAACGAAGTGTGGATTATGCTGCTTTTTGCCTGGTTGTAGGTGGTTGTTAAGAGACCTCTGAGGAATATGCGGTCAGACTTTTCTTTTATTGCAATCATGTTTCCTTCAGACAAGTAGAAGTGAGACTGGCCAAAGAAATGTCTGTGTCCTAATTCTCTCCTTGTAAAACCTTGGATCAGCAATAGCAGGCCCATAGCATAACTTGCTTGGGATGCAGTCTTCACAATATAGTGAGCTTTTAAACATCTGCCTACTAAGTACGAGTCACTACCTTTTGAATAATTAATAACATTTTGTTTGAATTCCTTTACAGGGCTGATGAATAAAAGCATGATATTACTTTAAAATTCACATAAGGTTAAATTAAACGTGTCCAGCAAAGCTCGTGGAGCTATGTACTAGACTTTCAGTGACTTGTAGTTCAGAAGAGTCGCACAATAGCAGTGGAATCCATACTAAAGAGCAGGAAGAGCTGCTGGTCTGCTGCCTGAGATATCTGCCTTTTTTTTCTTTTCTTTTTTTTTTTTTTTTTTTTTTATTGTTTGTGGAGAAATGGTCACATGTGCTTGCTGCAAGGGAACCAGTCATAATGTCCCAGAACAGGCAAATAATGCTGTTTCTAAAAGGGGAGATGGGCAGATTCGCCCACACACCTCCTGTTAAGTGGCAGCTCACAGTAGTCTACAGTAGGCATGTATTCATCCATCCATGTGTCTCGCTCGCAGATGAGATGAAGGGACGTCATGAGTGAGCCCCTGTCGTTTAGGAGGCAACAGATGAAGAGACGAAATGAATCTCAAAGGGAGGCTCAAGATTTGACACAGCAGGACATTCGGGCATGTTTGGAAGAAAGACTCCATTTTCAGACATCAAAACACTCTGATAGCAGAATTCACGATATTCTTAAGTGTGTCCAAATGGATTGTAAAGACTTACCCTACTTGGGGGGGAGGGGGGAGCTGTAACAGTGTTTCTTGCACCACATGGCTGCATTTCCTGCCACAAGACAACACACTGGGGCGAGAGCTTCTGTTTGTGGAGGAAGTGGCACAGTGAAGATTAAACACACAGTTTGGTCTGCTCGTGTTTGTGTTTGTGATCTTCCCCTGCTCTGGGGCCTCAGGTTTTCTTAGAGAGGAAAGTAATTTCTGGCTTCCACTGGTTGGCAGTGATGTCACGAGTGTTTCCTCCGGACTCGGGTCAAATTTAGCCTGCAGATTCTCCCGGGTCTTTCCTGTTGTTCTGAGCAAGGTGAAAGAGGTGGCTAGCCGACCGACGAGAAGGGGAAGGTTGGGTGGGGGGTCCCTCTCTGCAGCATCCCTCCTCTTAATACAATGGTGCTTCTCTGGATGACCCCTCCCACCCCCTGACCCAGGGCATTGTGATAGCTCAGCTGAGTGACAGTCCCATAGATGACACACAGAGCTGCCTGAACTGCACCCTCTCAACAAGGGAAGGAAGTGTCTCTTTGGCAACCCTCCTGGTAATATATGTCTGTCTAAGGGAAAGCTTAACACCATGAATTAAGGGTAGAGAAGGGCATCCACTTCTGCTATCTTGTCTATTGAGTAAAATATTGAGACAAATTGAGCACTAAATCACTGCAGAGAAGAGTGGTATTGTGACAGTGCTGAAAGGCTGTAGATTGTCCATTGTCATGAAGTCGTCTCAGCAGCAGCTGTGTGCTACATTTATCATCATTGGAGACTCGGGGAAGAGACCATGCCATAGGTTTGTCATACTTAACTTGTCTGTCTCCATTTGAGAAGACTAGACAGATCTAGCAGGAAACTCGTCACAGGGGTATTAGTGTTACAGTCAGAACAGCATCTTGTTCTTTTTTTTTTCCTGCTGTTGAGCTACAGAAAACTTTTAGGACTTTCTAAGGTTCTTTACAGAGCAATGATGGTGACCACAGCTAAAACATTATGATGTGCACACACTTTTGTTTGTCTGAGTCAAACTTAACGATAGTACATCCAGCTGGCTCTTGGATATGAAACCAGTCCTCCAGCAAGGTGATACTCAATAGGTGTAGGAATATTTTTTTTTTCTTTTTTAAAGCAGCACACCACAGGAGCCCAGCAGCCTTCAGAACATCACAAACATTCAACATGCTTCTCTTTCCTCCCCTAGAAGACGGGCACTGTACACCATGTCTCTTTTGAAACATCACGCTGTCCCTGTCTCCACTCTGAGCTGCTGCCCCTTCCATTACGATGGGTACATATGTAAACACCCCAAATTTCTAAATGTACACTCTTCCCAGCACCTTTCCGTGCCTTATCCTGCCCTGCTTCCAGCCTCAGTTTTGACACTGAGCCTTCGCCTCTAAGTGGGGGGCTATTAAGGGCATGTTGTCTGCTTCTGTAAACCAGCAGGTTGTGCCATGCATCCATCCATCCGGCCATTATCTATACTGCTTAGTCTCAATAGGATGTTGTGCCATACAGGTTATTGCTTTGCACACATTATAGCTAAAGTTCCTGAGTATATTAATTTTTCTCCATCTCCCTCAGTACACTTTCAAGTGTATTATATTTAATCACCAAAGTGTAATATTTGTTTGCCTTAGATACATATAGGATTAAAAGGTTGTATTTCCTGCAAATACCAATTTAAACCTGTATGCTTCATATCTACAGTTTTTTTTAAGCTTCAGCATCAAAGTGTACAATTATCCTCCACTCTCACTGACACCAACCGCTAGGTGGCACTGTGTCTGTTTGGTAAAAGTCATCCTGCTTCCCCCCAAAGGTGCAGAACTGTCTGACATCAAATTCTCCCAATGCCCACTGTCCACTGTGTCAGAAAGATAATAATATAGAGTTGTAATTTCACCAAAACGATGTGCATTGTGGTGAATGGAACTATATTTTGTTCATTGTTCTCACATGTTTATTTTAAATAAGAGTTCTCCTACTCATATGGGAGAAGGACAACCCCTGCATTCGCTGTAGGCTAAAGCACACTTGAAATACTTTTAAATGGTCATTTCCCAAGAAAGTGAATGTGCACTCCAACATAACAAAATGCCTGAGACTCCAACGTATAGCAAAATATCCCAACTGACTGACAATTTCACACACATAGGCAAATATGTGAGCTACAGTAAAGAAATAAAAATTGAAATGTCAAATTATAGTAGTAAATTAAAATCTGTCATAAAGTAGGTTATTAGTCTTAGTGAAATATGATTAGGACCACACACATTGTTCAGGCGTGTATGCTACCCTGGGATCTTTGTCTCCAAGTCATATAAATCAAGACTTTTCATTAATTTCATATCGTATCTTAGGTCACAGCAGTGCTTTACCGTTCACAGACAACCTGGGTTATTGTAGGTTTAAGGCAGACTTATCCTAATGTGGCCTTGCAAAAGTGCACTATTTGACAGACGATGATACTAAAGGAATGCTATTGATTAATGAAACCTACAAAGTAGCATCCACACGATTTAACTCCGAGGGTCTTTTAAGGGGGTTTTGCATTGGGACCTGCTCACTCATAAGACTGGTGTGAGGGACGGGGGTCTGAGCAACTCACTGTAATATTAGTCTAATGATTCCTTTAGTCCAAAATCAATATCAGCTCAGAGTTTTAGGCTATATTTCTCAGTCAGCACCTGCTATTAATCAATCTACTAAGGCCAGAATTGGACAGTTTTATTATTTAGCACAGATTTTCAGATTTCAGATTGAAACAGCTGCTCATCAGCAAAGGCCCACATGAGAATAAATTTACCCTGTAGACTGACATCAGCATTGGCGACTGATACAATCATTTCAACTAAATCGTAGCTAAAAAAAAAACTCCAGTTCTTCAGCTACGTGCTGTGGAGAGAACATGCAGGTCTACTAAAGTGCTGCTCACTGGATCCAAGGGTTTTTCATACATGAAGCAGTCTAAGGCTACATAAAGTATGCTGAATTTCACTTCAAGCACTGTTACTCCAGTGAATTATGAGACATACAGGAGAGTGGATTACAATTACTATGTGGTTTAAATATAAATGACCATTGTGGGAAAAAGTCATTTTATCGGTGAAACCGCATCCTGCTCAAATCTGACGATGAGCATAAACGTGAAGATATATCTTGGTCAAAACAAATTACATTTTATGTGGAAACCTTTTGTAAAATATGATTTACACAGGAATTTACGATCTTATTGACTCTGTGGACCACCTTAAAAGCATTTGTCCCGCCCTCGACGCTTTCCTTGTGTGCTCCGATTGGCGGAGACCTCATGGATGCAAGTGGCTGTAGAAATGCAAAACTTGTTGCTGGCTCCTCTGGAGGCGTTGATCTCACACAGCGCCAAGCGGCAGAGCAGAGTGTATCAGTGAATCTCTCCCAAGTGCGCTCAGACCACACCAGACAAGACTCGGTAAACGTAGCGAGGAACACATTAGGAACGGAACGCACTGAAAGGACTTAAGGCACAACGCGTAACTGCAAAGCGCACGCCCGACAGCGGCTGAAGGATGCTGTCAAGCCGCTCCGTGGTTGTGGAGTGCGGGTAGTGCGCACCGCGCTGCACCGGGTTCAGGTCGCGCGAACGGACGCTCCGGTGCCTCGGTTGGACAGCCGTGTTTGTGGGCTTTCCATCACACTGGACTTTTGGTTCCATGCCTGCTCATCAGTTGTCGATATTTTGAAAGGCATCGGTGTGCAGTATTTATTTAACGACTTTCCCCCCTGAAAGCCACAGTGGTAGTTTCAACTACGCGGCTTCATTTGGACTTTTCCTTGTTTCCAGTATGGGACCTTGTACAAAAAAATCGCTCTGGGACATTTGACATTGGACTGGAATAATGAATTAGTTGACAGAAATCGTTATATTTCCCCTTTCGATCGCTCCAGCTCGTCTGTACTCTCCTAGTAGTTTGTTGGTGAAATGTTTTTGTGTCATGTTCGCTAACCCCGAAGAAGTGCGCACAGAAACTTTGGTATCTGTCACTCATGCAGCCAGTTAAATAGTCTTTTATATTAGTAACATAGCGGTATTTTTGTTTACTTAATCAACGACTAAAAGAAGAGCAGTCAAGTGCACGCATAAGTAAGGGAACAAGAACACAGTTTGCGTGCGTATTTGGACACAGTCTGTCTCCCTTCTCTTTTTCCGCGTCCTTGGAGAAAATGAAAAACAAAAATAAATGATCCACAATGAGAACTTATATGGTGAGTTTTAACATTTGAAGTAGAAAAGGCAGATTGGTTAACAGTGCGGTACAACAATTTGAATAGACTTTGTATATGTATTTTTTCCCTTTGCTTTTGGGGACAGACAGAAAAACAGACAGTGTGCCGATGTCTGGCAAACTGGCCGTCATGTGGGATTGATTGCAGGGGAGTATGTTTGGGCTGGAGCAGTTTGGTTCTCAGATTAATAGCAGAAAGCCTGGCCAGTCAGAGAGAAACATAAACCAACCGAGACTGAACATGGGCTCTCATTATAAAAGCCCAGGTTTTCACGCTGGAGGCCCACCAGGAGCTGTGGAACCCGGCATGGGCCCTCTAAGCGAGTCACAAATGCTTGGGCTCAATATGAACCTGAACGGAGAGCAGTATGGGGGCTTTCACCAGCGGGGCCACTCGGACATGCATGCAGGCGGCGGACTTCAGCAGCAGCAGCAAGGACCCATGCATGGATTTTTTAACAACCAGCAACCTCATCAAGGACATCCTCATGGCCATCAATCTCACCCCCACCAACATCACCCTCATTTTAGTGGGAATTTTGGAGGCCCAGAGCCAGGGTCATCCTGCCTGCATGGTGGCAGGCTAATGGGCTACAACAACAATATGGGACCACAGCAGGGTTTTGGAGAAGGATTTGATCCTCTGGCTGAGGGACAGGCAGGGGATGGTTTTCCCCAGCAGCAACTGGCAGCCATGCTGTCCCTGCCCCCTGTCTACCCCTGGACCAGTCACCTAACAGAGCAGCATCCTTCCACGGTCTCCCTTCCTCATCCTCCTCCTCTTCTGAGTCTCATGGCTTGGAACCTCGGCGAATGCCTAACCAGGGAGCTGTGGAAGGATTAGATTATAACTTCACAAGTGAGCCGCCATCTGGACATTTTGATGTACCTGTATTTTCCCCATCAGAATCAGAATCTCAGTTACCCCATTTTGGGCCAGGAAGGCCGGTTCCCAGTGGGAATTTCCCAGGGAACCCTGGCATGCCAAGGACACCAGGTATGCAGGGCATCTCTAAGGGACACCAGCCGCCACCACAGCCCCAGCAACCACAGCATGGAGTGTTTTTTGAGCGTTTTGGAAATGGCAGGAAGGTGCCTGTGGGAATGGAGCCAGGGGTCAGTGCAAGACATCCTCTCATGCAGCAGCAACAACAGGCTGGGTTGCTAGCCAGACAGAACTCATGCCCCCCTGGCCTCCCCCGACCCCCTCAGGCTGAGCCTGGTTCTTCTAACCCCAACATTCTGGATGGAGGGGTCATGATGCCTGGCCAACACAACCAGTTTGAATATCCCATTCACAGACTGGAAAATAGGGGTCTGCACCCCTATGGGGACCCCATGTTTAATATGCAACAGCCAGCTCCTCCCCCCTCCCAACAACCCCCAAATCAGAGGCTGCAACACTTTGACTCTCCTTACATGAACATGGCAAAGAGGCCTAGATTTGACTTTCCTAATGCACACAGCAGTGAAGGCTGGTGTGGTGGTATGGATAACCACCTCTCTCCGTCCGCCTACCCTGGGCTGCCTGGAGAGTTCACCCCACCTGTAAGTGAAGGTTTCCCACCTGGTCCCCTGCAGCATCCGGCTCCTGAGCAGCAGTCTCTGCAGCAGCGTCAGAATGCAGCCATGATGATTAAACAGATGGCTTCTCGCAACCAGCAGCAAAGGATGAGGCAGCCCAGTCTGCAGCAGCTGGGTCACCATGGAGATGTACCTCCTGGCCCAATGGCTCACGGAGGCCCAGTGGGGAGCATGCCCAACTTTGACAGGGAGAATGGTGGCAGGATGCCCAACATTGATGGACAAAATCCACATGTAACTCAGGAGAACTCCTGGTTCCAAGGGTCGCACCCACCAGGGGAGTTGATGTCACGGCGTATGGGTGGAGCGGGTAATGAATCAGGGCCTCATGACATGGGGCTACAGCAGAATGGTGCTGGAATGATGTTTAGGCCAGGTATGGGCATGCAGGAGCCCATGAGAATAACGGGAGATGGGCATGTGCAGGCTCTCCATTCTCCAGGCATACACTCACAATTCAGTGGTAACATGGGCAACCTCTCACAGATGCAGTCTCCAGGAGGAGGAACAGGGCATCCAAATGCACCAGCAGAGAGGCGGCCAGCTGACTTTCCTGCACCTCCAATGGGAGCACAGCCAACATTTCCCTATGGGGGGACTAACCGTCAGGGACCAGCCCATAGTGCTCCCCAGGGGGTGAGCACCTCACCAGGGAGCTACCCTCCTCAGCCTGAGTTCCCCTCAGGCCAGCGGTCGTCTGTTAGTAAGCTTGGAGCTCTGTCCCTTGGGAACTTCAGCAAAACCAGCACTAAAGACAGTGTTTTTGGCCAGAGCTGCCTGGCGGCCCTTTCCACGGCCTGCCAAAACATGATTGCTAGCCTAGGGGCCCCGAATCTTAATGTAACGTTCAACAAGAAGAACCAAAATGAGGGCAAGAGAAAACTGAGTCAGACAGAGCAGGACATTAATAGCAGCACATCTAATGGGACTGGCAGTGCTGGTCCTGAATATTTTCAGAGCAGCACTTCCCAGAACAACCAGATGCCTGGCACTGGGAATAGCAACTCTAAGCCTGCAAGTCAAAGCCAGACGGTGCAGGGGGAAGCCAGTGCCCTCTCCCCAAATTACAACATGGATGCTACCCCGTGCAGTGAGGGGAAAGCAACAACAGGGAGTGGGAGAGGGAGAGGGAGGAGAAAAAGAGACAGTGGACATGTGAGCCCTGGAATTTTTTTTTCCTCTGACAATGGTAACCCTGTTGTAAGTCCAGGCCAGCAGACCCCCTCGGCTGGCGTTGGGGAGAGGGGTGGGGGTACGCCCCTTGAGAAACACCTCCAATCACCCTCCTGGGGAAAAGGAGGTGACCTTATGTTGGGGGACCAGGCTGACCTAATGTCTTCTTTGGACAGTGGCATTCAAAGTGTCGCCAAATCTGACAGTAGCTCACCACGAGTGGACTTTCCTGACGATGTCAGCACCCACTTTGGCAATGAGGATGAGGTGTCCTCCAGCTCAGATGCAGGAGGGACCTCAGCCACCAAGCCTAATCGCAGCCCTATGCTCACGGGCTCACCCAAAATGCAGAGGAGTGACCATGCATTGGTAAATGGACAGAAGCCCCTAGGTATGGGCATTAACAATCATATTACCTCAACACCAGATAGCTATGGACTGAATTCTGGTGGGGCCACAGGGGCCAGCGGGGTGAGCCACCCTGGCACTCCTGGGGTGGATCAGGTACGCACCCCATCCAGCACCTCTGGCCAGGAAGAAATCCATCCTCTGGAGATTCTGCAGGCCCAGATCCAGCTACAGCGGCAGCAGTTCAGTATCTCTGAGGACCAGCCCCTGACCATGAAGAATGGCAAAAAGAATGGCGACGGTCCCTCACAGAACGGAGACAATGAGCTGGCGAGCTGCAGCCCAGATGCTGGGAAGGGCTCAATGGGCACTATTGACCTTGACACCCTCATGGCAGAGCAGCATGCCACCTGGTACGTGCCCGGTGACAAGGCCATGATGGATGGATCTGAGGATGACAAGGCCATGGGACCCTGGGAAAAAAATAAGAGCCAAAACAACAGTAAAGAAGGTAAACAAACCAGTTTCATTCTTTCGGCTATATTATGCCCACTTTTTTTTCTGTCCTCCTCTTATCCTCCGTCTTTCTATCACTCTCACACATGCAACACACTTTTCTTTTTACAGCTTTGCTTATTATAAGATAGGTTTTTTTTTTCATCCTTAAAATGTTTTATATTGTGTCTGAAACGCAGTTTAACACCTACCTACATGAGTAACAGGTAAAATTCTGTGAAAAAGCTGACAATAGAGGACCTTATGTCCATATTGTGCTGGCAAAAAGCAGCCATCTCTGTTTAAATAGGTCTTTGAATTTTAGTTAATACATTTTATGGTATCACCATTCAGGTCTTTAAAAAGAGATGATGATTTATGTTGTATATTACTTGTTAAACTGAGACTGTACAGAAGCATGTAAACACGCTTATCGGGATGGAGTCATTTTAAGTGCCATCCCTTTGGAAAAAAAGTGAACCTTGTACATTCATTACAACACATTTCCATAGGTTTCTTCATTGTAGAGGCACTTCAAAAGAATGGCTCAAGAAAAGTAAACATTTCCTGTGGTTCTTTATCTCGGTTTTCAGGGTGAACAACTGCATTGAGAAGATTAATAGCTTTTTGACGATATGCGTTTGCGCAGCAGGGTTTCCCTTGCCATGTTACGTGTTTGTTTTTGTTATTACCAGGGGATAATACAGAGCTGGGGAAAGTGGATTGATTTTAGATTGGCAGGATGGGATTTCAAGGATTAGATATCATGGTGAAATTAATGCAGCCATCCAGCTTTAGTATCATTCTTCATGAGAAGTACTTAATATAGTGTTTTGTTTAGTAGGCTTTCATTTAGTTCCTTAAAACACAATGTTCCTCAAGAAAAATGGAAAATCTCTTGCCATGAAGTCACAGAAGCTGTTTTTCAAGTAGACATAGATTATATTACAGTCTGCACATGTTCATGGTTACAAGTAGTTTTATCTGAATGTTTTTATGATGGCTCTAAATCAAAATGCAGATATCTAGTTTTACTTTTACGCTGTTCAGATTAATATCAAGTAATTAGTTTTCCAATAATAATAATAGTAATAATAATTATTATTATAGTAATAATAATAATATTCAATGTAAAACATAATAATACCATTCACTATTATTATTATAGCAATATTATTGTTTATTTTTAATATCATTTGTGTGTTCTAATAAAATTAATTAGGTGTAAATTATTTTTCTGCATTATAATTAATAAGATATATGTGGAGAGTGCTTAGCAGGTCTCCGGCACCTCTTTGTTCTGTGAGAGAGAGGGGCGGGGGCGCACCGTGCCGAGCTTGGGCTCCAGGCGCATTGTTTAACTCTACGAGAACAGCGAGCCGGGTAGTAACACTAAAGCTATGACATTGCACTCTAGTTTACCATTTCAAAGGATGTAGGCGAATGTCATCCGTTGCCTTAATTATAAATGAACAAAAAATTAACAAGCAGTGTAGATAAGAGTTATCCAGCTATTTGTTTTTCTCATAATTGGTCTCCACTGGTGCCCTCATTTAATTTATTAAATATGTAACAAGATCATTGAACATCATCATTTCCTTTATTATCATTTTTAAAAGAGGTAACTGAGTTTTATTAATTTATATATGGAAAAAAAAGTTCAAGCAAACAAAAAAGTGGCAGATGGGTTTTGTAAATCCTAAAATCCCATTGACGCCAGGGAGTGATAAGTAACATCATTACTTTTGATTATGATTAATGGGTTTTCTTTTCAGTAGGAAACCCGACACTGATAAGCAGTCAGCCACACTCACCCTGTTGCATTCACTGCTTCAATTTCTCCTGTGCTGATAACACATTTAACGTTACAAATTCACAAAAATCAGGAGATATTTACAAGCAGAATAGTCTGTTTTCTGCTCCCCCCCCCCCCCCCCCCCCCTCCACCCTCCCCCTCCCCTCCCCCCCCGCCTCCTCTTCCCCTCCTCTCCTTCTCGCTTTCTCTTTCATGTCTCCTCTCCTCTCCTCTTTCAGCCCTCCCTGCGTGGACAAGAGGCATGCAGCTCTGGAGCGATCGATAGCTAGTTAGCACAAATCACGGCTCCTGACAGTTTCTCATTTGAGTGCTTCAGACAGCAAAGATGAAAAAAGGGTGGAGGTGTATTTGCTAGGGGAGGGGGATTTTGAGATTGAATCTGATGCTTAGGCTACACAGAAGGGAGCAAAATAACATAATAATTTAAGATAAGTCACAGCTCACAGCGTAGTTCCATAAGAGCCAACATCCCACAGGCTTTTCACACTGCAAAAAAATATCCATGTCAACCTGTCAGTCTAGTTTGAAGTCCTCAGCCTTGAGAACAAAATATCTGCCAATAGGGAGATAATGTTAGTGCCTAATTTGAAATAAATCAAACCAATTCATTAGTCCATTGGCATGAACTAAATAAAACATGGGCAAGAAAATTCTTATAGTTAATTTATGTAATTCCAATGACAGGGAAAGCAATTTTTTTCCCCTCACTTATAATAACTTGACAATTATCAGCACAAGATGACATAACAGTGGAAATATTCTGAAAAATGATACACCTTTGAAGTAAAAGTTAAGATTTTTTTTTTAAGAGGTTGATATGTAATATTTTTTCCTCCAGGTGAAGCTGTTTTCTACCTGTCCACTTCCAAAAACTTTTTTGCCTTGACCATTTGATTTACATATTTACTTTTGCTCTCTTGGGAGGGCTGTTGAAGTGTGTATAAATCATTTTCACTCACACAATTAGTTTTCTGTCAGGTTATTAAGTTCAATAACGATAAACAGTAAACATTACATTGATTTACACAGCAAAGCCTTATTTAAACTTCTTAATTAAAAATGAAAATGTAATTGAAAATCATTTTTAAATCTATTACATTTATAAGCAGAACTCAAAGTACTTCCTCATTTTAATCTTTAAACAAGGTGTATGTTTAGTTGTCAGGTGTTTTTGTCCTGAGTACTCACACCTAATGTGTATTTGTTGCTTTATGTTTGTAGTTAGTGGGGTTTTTTTACCCCGTGTTATGTAAGAACTTAACTGCTTGGTGAAGTGTGGTGTTCTTTGTATTTTGGTGATGCTGAGAAGTGTGTTTCAGATGAGTTGATGGCAGTGAGAGTGAAAGAACTGGGGGTCAAAGGTCGCTTAATGAGGGGAATGTTTCAGTCACTCAGTGCAGCTTCAGTGCTCCATCAATGTGAAGCTGTAAAACTTCAGAGGGGCCAGAGATCATTTATTTGCCAGGTGTGTTTGTATTGTTCCTTAGCTAACTTCTTTTAAATGTTTGAATAAGCAGACAGAAAGCCAGTCAAAGTTCAACTGCAAGGTCTGTACTCTCAGTGCTGTTGTGTCTTCACCCGGTGCACCCCAGCTCGCTATCTCTCTGCTCCCTGTGTGCCTGTATAAAGTGATGCCTACTGCAGTAATGCCCTCCTTTGGACTCCGTATTTGGCCTCCTCTCTCTGTGACCGCATGTAGCCCACGTTTCTTACAGAGTCACAGATATACCTGCCGCTGTAAGTGCACATCCTGCAAACTCCTGTATGCTGCATCGCATCATATAGTCCCAAGGAGGCAAGGAGCTGAGGTCTACGCATGCAACTTGCACGGTGTCAGTTAATATTATTTCCTCTTTTTTAAAAAGCTCTTTTATGCTCCTCCTCTTCCCTTCACTTCTGTGTATCTCAGCCAGAAGCTGACCGTTCATTTGGAAACTCATGTATAGTCTTGATAACAGGCAACCGGCAAGTGTAGGAAGTGATTCAGTTAGTTTTATTTTTACTTTTCACTTTTTTTTTTTTAACCACATGCACTTGTGTGACTGTTTTTTTTTTATCAGCACAGTTAAAACACTTCACAGTTGACCCTGTGGAATAGTTTCACTTGTCACTCTCAATAATCAGCCCTAAAACAGCTTTAATAATGATATAATCTCTGTCACTGTGACTTTGACAAGTTTGAAAAGAGGGAACTTGCATCTTATCAAACCTACTAGAAACCCACTGAAAGAGCTGCACTGATATTCCACCATGGAGAGCAATCCTGTGAAACTACCTGCTTTTGACATTTTAGTACAACAACAACCTCGCAAATTACACATGTCATTGCTATTTCCTTTTTCAAAAAAAAAAAAAAAAGAAAGAGAGAATAAAGTGATTGGCACGTGCTTGAATCTTGGAAAAAAACCCCAGCGCGGCGCAGTCTGTGATCTTTACCTGTCATTACAAGTTGTTTCATATTGACTCTTTCAAGAACACACATCCACCAAGCTTCTCACACATGCTCCTTGACTGCAGTAATGATAATCATTATGATAATCATAGCAATTAGCTTTGGTATTGTTTCCAAAAGTCATAATTTATCTTCAGGAAACTTCATTAATTTGACTTGTTGATTTATTGACGGGTTCATCAGAGCTACAAAAACAAAAAAAAGTTTGAGCATGTTGAGTGCTGATTTCAACAGCATACATTTTTCTTCTTGCTGAATGTTTGTGGTTGCTTTTCACTGCGTGTGTGTGTGTGTGTGTGTGTGTGCTGGTACGCATATGAGGAGGAGGTGATGAAGGGTATGTTTGTAGACACTGCAACTTGGTAGTGTGGATTTGTCAGCAGTAGACGTAAAGTTTGATTTATTTGGACTCGGTGTCAGGCTCATGACTTTAACCCCCCCACTCTCAGGTGTCTCGCTTGGTGGAACATGCTCACTTCATTCTAATGTGTTGAAAATATTTAAAGGTATTTACTTGACTTGGAAATAGCGCATGACTGAAAAACACCTATCACACATTTAAAGAGAATTTAAGGCCGTGTTTGTGAGTGCACCCGTGTTCATGTTTGTGTATTTGCAGTGCGTGCGTGCATGTGTTTTCTATATTCCTGAGCTTTTGCAAGACACTGAGCACTAGTGACAGCCAAAGGGAGCCTATGAAAGACACGTGCTTGTGATTGATGAAGGGAGAAAAGGATGAACAAAGGTG